ATATATCAATATGATATTTAATCGATTATTTTAATTTCACTGATTAAAATCTGATCATAGTAAAATTACTAATACTGTTGACATAGTTTTGATTTACTAGTTGAGTTACTACCCTAGTATGTACGTACATAAACTCTATTATTGTATATTAAAATAGAAATACGAAACTATATTAACAAAAGCTGATTATCAATTTGCATAATAAAAAGTTTAAATAATATTAAAAAAAAATTTTTTTCTTAAGCCAAGCATATCGCGAGAGGCTAGCAGAGTAATGGCGCAAAAAATTTGGCAGTCTTGTGACTAATATAAAATGAAAAAATGGCTCTGATAAGTTATGGAACATGTAAAGATAGTTCACAAAATAATAACTCAGAAGTAGTTAGAATTTGAATTTTGCAAACGAAACAAAAATTCACTTATACGGATAATCATGTACGTACGTACGTACGTAGTCGGGAAGTACAAATAAGGTGAGGATTAATGTGTACAGTATTACTATTGGTTTGTGACTACAGATTTTGGTTCAGAATTTGCATTTGGATAGATCAACAAACCTTATCAATTGATCACACGTAGAGGCAAGTTTTTTTGCCTTTGCATTGCATAATGCAACCTTATGTCGCATGATACTATGCTGTGAACCTCTTAAAACCTATATGCAGTAAACAGACTTGTATATTACTAAGAGGTTGAAAACAAAATATAGTGGAAACAGACCTGATAGATTAATTTTTTATTGATTTCACAAGCTATGAATTTGATAGAAACAAGTGTATATAAAGTGATTGTTGATAAAATGACATAGATCAAAATTACATAACAACTTTTATGTGCATTTTTAAATTTTAGGCAACTTGCATAGCATTATGCAGCATGCAACATCGCTGTATAATGGATATATGAAGATGCCGACTATAAATATGATAAAACTTGATAAAAATATAAACCATTCACATAATAGGTTAATACTATTTATATTTTTGAGGCTTAGGCTATAATTTGGATAATCTGAGAAGAAAAGTATATACGTTCGCACGTACATTGCACATGTACTTATTTTAGTATGTATGCTTGTGTGCATGGGGTGATCGAATTTTTACAAATTTGGTAAGGTTCTATATCGTGTTGATGCAGATATTGTTAGTTTAGTATAAGTTTTGATGTTTACTAAAAATGCGAAAACTATCAAAGTATAAACTGATAAACGTTATATACTTGCGATAAAACAGATAGAACTGATGTGAGACCGGAAACGTGTCCTGACAGCAGGCACGTAGCCTCGTGACTCGGGCATTCCAAATTGGGGTTTACTGGTGGAATTCCAGGAATTCCCGGAATTACAAGAATTAGGGAAATTCGGTGAATTTTCAGAATTAGGCGAAAAACAGGAATAAGGAGAATTACAATAATTACAATAATTACAGTATAATTCTGGGAAAACGGCATATTCTGTATGTAAAAATAGATAGTGGGTTAATTATAAATAAATGCCTTCTGGTCCTTCGAAAATGACAGTTAGATAGTAAGCTCGATTCACATAATAATAAAGTACCTAAGTCATATTCAAATGCCCTACCAACTACATACATTCTTTTATTAACAACTCGTCCAAATCTAACACATCTTTTTTGCGTTTGCCTTAATGATTCTGTTGGTCGGTGACCCGATTGCTGCGAAGCATTGACCGACTGACTTCAGTCCTCTCATCAATAAAACAATAAAACAAGCCAAAAAATTTATTTGAGCTATTTACAACAAGCATTTTTATTAATTATTAGTATTTAACATTATTTGACATTTTATTGTATAATATATTTTAAAGCTAATTACTGTCGTTCTCAAGTCCTAAGACCTCATCAACAATATTCAACACTTTAAAGTCCATATTTACATGACTTTTGCTTGATATTGGCTTAGATTGTGGTCCTTTACAATATGATTCCATGTTAAAATTAAAAAAAGATAAAGTAAGATCTGCTATATCTTCAATCTTAGGATTTGAAGTTCTTTGATAATTATTGTTTCGATTATTAATTTTACCTTGTCAGCATTTTTGTATGTCTTCTGGACAAGTAGAACAATTGTTGACTAAATGTGATTTCATTACAGTTGGCATTCCTCTTTGTATTGGACAGAATAATATTTTTCAATTTTTTCACCAATATTATACATATCCCATACTTCTTTACAAGACTAACCACCAGAATTAGATTTATTAGCCAAAGTAGTTGAACAATCACTAGTAGCACTCAAATTATTATCAATTTTATTTGACACAATGAAATAAGTAAAGAATTGTTAAATTTATTGTTTTGATGTTCTAATTATAATTCAGCAGTTTGATTTTACATAAAAATAAGTAAAGAATTGTTAAATTAATTGTTTTGATATTCTAATTTATAATATAGATGTTCTATAGAATAGATAGGCAATATAAAAAATAAACTCCGCTACTAATTAGTAATCATTAATAAATATTTAGCAGAGTTGCTAAGTTTGCGGAGTCTTCTCACCTATTCTATAGAACATTCTATAATATGGTATATAGTTAGTTTATTTGATCATAGCAATAGTTTAATTTTAATCAATATTTTAACTACAGTTATATCTAGTTATATCTTTTTTATTTTACCAATTTTAATTATAATATATGTTAAAATTAGGTTTACCATGTGATAAAACCCAAAATATAGTGATATTAAAATGTTTAGTTGGCATCACTAATTCACATGCTATTTAAAAGAACCATTGTTATATAATCCATAAAACAGTACTGCCAACTAGCGATGTGCCATATACAATATGCAGGTGAACAGAGTGATGCAAATCACAAAGTGTAAGGTTATATGGCAAATTAAATGATGTATGTTTGCAAAATTATAAGTTTGATTGGTCGGCATGACTTATTCGTCAATTTTTTTTTATTTTTCACACCACTTTATTATTATTCACATGTATATTCATTACGTTTTCTATCTATAACAATATGGTATAGATCAGAAATATAAGTGCAGTTACATATTTACACATAATTCTATTTTAAAATACAAAGAACTGCAAACATGTGCATTATAAAAGTTAAGATAACTAATAATATTTTATACACAAAAATTGGTAACCCAATGCAAATTAATTTGTCTATTTACTTGATATTTGGCATTTTTTATTTTTTTCATAGAATTTTTTATTGGGTTGATTAAATGATAATTACTAATCATCAAAAACAACAGTGAAATAATTTTTTAGATAACTTGAAAATTTGATAAACTTTTGTTTGATTTGCTAATGTGAGTCAATAAAGTTTGTATCTTGCTTAATAACAAAAAGACCAAGTCTTATTTTTACATTAAGTTCCCAAACATAAATATATTGAAATTATTTTATAGAACACACAATGCTATGCATTTCCTAGTATTTAGTTAGAAATCAAAAATTTTTACTTCAATAAAAAAATGAACAAAATAACAAATAGGATTTAATGAACTTATCTTTATGATTATTTTCTTAGTAGATTGATTTACTATGCTTTTGTCTGTTTTAATACAAACCTATCATATATTTATAAATTAACTGTATATTATATTAGGTAAATCTGTTTAGTAATTATATTGTAACAGCAAAACATTCTAATCATAAATTTTGCATATACATATTTTAAAAATTATCTTAATTAGTGATTCTGGATTATTAATATTATCATTATATTGTCTTTGTTCCAATCAAAATAAAATATTGCTGATTTTAATTATTGGCTATATTCTTTTTCATAATTAGCCACATTTTCTATTAGACTAATGCAAAATTATATCTTATTATTATTTATCTTATTAGCACAATATGTGCATGCCTCCAAAAATTTTTTATCATATTCAGATTGTATTTATAACTTTAGTCATCATGTGTCTATATACTTGTGGTTTTTTTATATATATAAAATATTTATTTAAGCAATAATTAAAACACTAATACTAACACTAATAATTTCTGTTTTCTAATAAATTTAAATTTTTTATTGGCTATAATAAAAAATTTATTATAGTGTGCTAATTGCAATTGGTAAATTCAAGTGCCTTGGTGGTAAATTGACTGAATTGAAGAATAGAACGTGAAAATTACATAGTACTGTTGATGAAAAACATTGTTGAAAAAGTAATTAAAAAGGTTAAACAGAACCTGAGGATAATTCAGCAGAAATGGAAAAAGTGTTAGTCATGTTTGTGTTATGTGTACTAATGTAAAGTACATTTGGCTTATTCATGTTCATCTATAAAAGATCAAAGTCATAATCAAAGTTTAAATAATAATAAATGGAAGTTCATTGTGTAGAAGTGGGTAAGAAAGATTGTGAAAGTTTGAAATATAGAGAAAGTTTTAAAATAGATCAAAATGATAATAGTAAAAATAAGAATAATAGTAAAAATAAGAATAATAGTAAAAATAAGAATAATAGAACATTAGAAAAAGAAAAAGAGTTTATCTTAAAATATTCAATAGAAGATGATAAAGTTGCTTCTGGTGTTGAAATCAATATTGATAGTATTAAAGTGGTTCAAAAGTTCTATGTTAAGTGAGAATTGTGTTGTGATGTTGTTCTTGAAATGCCATGGGTTTCAAAAACAAGATGTAGACTTAGATAAAGAAATAGAAAATATTGTTGTACAATTCAATTTGATTATAGTGAATTAATACTTGTGATTTCAGAAGAACTGATTGTTGATAAAAATGTTGTCGATAAAGGAAGTGTAATGAAGAATTATGATTAAAAAGAAGATGAATTCATAGATATTAGATATATATTAAGTGCAAAGAGAAATAATGATATTGATATAAGCTGCATTGAAAGCAGATTAATGAAATATAACAGTATTGCAATAAAGGAAAGAAAAATAAAATCATTAATGGATTAAACAAAAAGAAACAAAATCAAACAAAAGATATAAATTTGGAGAACTTATCTATGAAGTCTAATAATAATGAAGATGAATCAAATAAATCAAATGCTGTTAAAGCTAATGTTGAAAATAAAAAATGTAAAGTATTTATTCTTTTTCAAAAATCTGCAACTATGAATGATGCTGCTAAAGCATATATGATTCAATGTTGTTATCAAAACAAAATTGATATTGAAAAGAATAGGCATTAATGTTCAATTATTATCAAAGATCAGCTAAAATAGGTCGCATTGATGAAATATGTAATTCTAACTGAAATAAAATTGATATTAAAACAGATGATCATAAAGCATTCATTAACTATCAAAAATCTAAAGATATGAGAGTTTTTAATAAAATCAACAATCTTGATGGAGTTGTGAAGAGAAAGCTTGTGATGAAAAGGATAAACATAAAATGTTTATTAATTATCAAAATTCAGCTGATATGAATAATACCAAGACTATATATGGGGCGTCAAAAGTAGAAACTAAAAAATTTTGCTGATCACGGGTTTTGAGAAAATCAGCAAAAACTATCTTGTTATACAAAATCAAAACAATCTAAAAATAGTTTATTCAATATTAACAAACCTGTTTAAACAGGATTATTAAATCTGTATATCACTATTATACTAATATTTGCAATAGTGAATCTATTTTTAGATTATGGCATCAAAAGCTTTTAACCATTGTATCGCAAAAATTTATTAAGTGATCAGATTTTTATTATTAAGTAAAAAAGATCAGGCTTTAAATTTTACATCTAATCAATCAAACAGATTAATTTTCAAAAAATTGTCAAATTTCTTGGTTTCTACTTTTGATGCCCTATATATATTTTTTTAATTTTTTTTTTTTTTTTTTATATTACCAAACATAGAAACTTTATTGGTCATGATAAACACCTTTTTACAAAGCAATTGATATACAGTTTCTAAATACATTTGTGCTACTATTACTAGTCACCCAATGTGGCATTATACTCTTTATTTAACTATATTACTTTTCCATTAACTATTTCAAGCCAACTTCAAGCTAGGATTGGTTGGAGCAACCTACCATTACATGTCC